TAAGGTTAAATTGCTTAATTTCATCTCACTACTCCCCACCCCCACCTCCAACACACACACACATACACACACCCAGAGATTGCACTTTGTAGGATCTATAGTTATAGTTCCAATTCAGAGTAGCCAGCAAATCATTACTAGTTAGTAATGTGCCGCATTTCCTGTTAGACTGGGATAGGATGATGACAAAAGATCTTTTTGTCCTAACGCACACATACTTTTTATAGGGCATGATCTGTCTCTTTTGGGGCCTTACCATTGATGCCTGCTATATACTAGATGCTTGATTAAATATTTATTGAAAGGATTTATGAAACTGAATACTTCATTTTTCCCTGACATCTTTTATGCTACTTTATTTATGCCTAATTACTGTGCCACCCTTGAAACAGTATATTTTAATCTTTAGGTATTTATTGGGACCATGTTGTCAGTTTTATTTAATTTGAGCCACCAACCATCAAGAACTGGCTTTTCACGTAATGCCAGTTTTGCTTTTCTCATGTAACACCAGCCATTTACAACTTGAAAGTAATAGTGAATCTTTCTTAAGGTGAATCCAGATCTCTTTGGATACTGATAACGAGGCCCCAGAACTATTGATTTAATTCCAGCAATTTGCTTAAACTAAACAACAAACTTGTATCAAATTCATCCATTAAAAATAGGTTATATTAAATGAGGTATCTATTTTAAAGCAAGGGTAAAGCATTAAAAACTTAGACCCTGATTGGAGTGTCATTTTTTTTGCTATTATTATTTGCTACTTCTTAGTTATGTTTATAATTAATTTCTTAATATACTTTCGTCTGGCATCCTTCTTTTAGATGCAGAAATCTGTGTTGAACAACCCTAGGCTATCACCGGGCAGGTGACTTAGGGCTCTTTTGATTTTTTGATACTTGGAAGTATATCTTCACGTGGTTTTCCAGCAGTAGTCCCGGTTTTCCCCCAGTTCTCTCTAGGCACTAGTTCTTTGTTCTAACCACTGAAAGATTCAAGGATATTTTTCATAAGATGCTACCCTGCCAACCCTCATTCCTCAATCATTTCTCCTGCATAACTAGCTGGAGGAAAGCATCACTAAGTTTCTTTCTAATAAAGTTTTCATAAGTTAGTTTAGCTCATGTATTTTATTTTGAATTAGGGCATTGTCAATCTATTCTTTATTTTCTGTTCTTTTGTTTTATCCTGTTTCCACCACCTCACTGGCTTTATTTATTTATCTATTTATTTATTTTAGAATTTATTATTTATTTATTGGCTGCGTTGGGTCTTTGTTGCTGCGCACGGGCTTTCTCTAGTTGCGGCGAGTGGGGGCTACTCTTTGTTGCGGTGCGCAGGCTTCTCATTGCGGTGGCTTCTCTTGTTGTGGAGCATGGGCTCTAGGCTCAGGGGCTTCAGTAGCTGTGGCTCGCGGGCTCTAGAGCGCAGACTCAGTAGTTGTGGTGCATGGGCTTAGTTGCTCCACGGCATGTGGGATCTTCCCAGACCAGGGCTCGAACCCGTGTTCCCTGCATTGGCAGGCAAATTCTTAACCACTGCACCACCAGGGAAGCCCACCTCATTGGCTTTAAATTGATTGTTTTTAATAAAGTACTCCCAACAGTTGAGAACATTTTTGTGAGTTATCTTAGCCATTTTTCCTTTTTGCCTTCCATACCCACGCAAACACTGTTAAATACCTTTGAACACATATGATCCAATAGAATATAATAGCCAAATGTTGAATAATCATACTTTGGTTGTTTATCTGTGGTTGCTAGTAATGTACTTTAACTTCTCTAAGAGCTAAGCAGAGTAAACATTACCTGTCACCAATCATGACAGATGCGTTGACATTTACCGTAGAACTTAAGGTAATATGCTATTGTTATTTTAAAGGGTTATATTTAAAGTATTAGTTTTAAAGTGCTTAAATTGTTTAATGTAATTCAACATGAGTGTGATTAGGTTCACCAGATGGTTCTTTTATATAACAAGATTATTTCTCATTCCTCTTTCAGTAGTCTTCCCAGTCCTTCCTCATGTAACAGCTTTAAGTTTGTTTAAGAACCTTGTTAACTGATATTTTAAGGAAGTAGGCGGTGGATGTTGCTACTTTAATATAAGGCAGTTAAATAAGTATAGTTTTTTTTTTTGCGGTACGCGGGCCTCTCACTGTTGTGGCCTCTCCCGTTGCGGAGCACAGGCTCCGGACGCGCAGGCTCAGTGGCCATGGCTCACGGGCCCAGCCGCTCCGCGGCATGTGGGATCCTCTAGGACCGGGGCACGAACCCGTGTCCCCTGCATCAGCAGGCGGACTCTAAACCACTGCACCACCAGGGAAGCCCTAAGTATAGTTTTTTGGAGTGGCTGCAAAAGTAGCAAGTTAGAAGCATTTAATTTCTGAACCCTACTATTGTTTACATATTGTATCTTAAAGTAATTTTGGCTGGAAGACTAGATAGTTCTGAAAGCTAAAAAAAGAGAGGTTCCAAGAAGCTAAATTTGCAGGGGAACCTGTGATTCAGAAAAGCGAACCCAGAATGACTTTTATTCTTTTGGGGGGTTTATGAATTTAGAATGGACATCCAGTTTCTTCCTGCTTTGGGTAAGAAAATACATATTTCTGTGTGGTTTGTCACACTAGATTCCAAGTGGAACAGATCTTTTTTTTCCCCTTGGCCAGATATTAGAAAAGGGTCTAAAGAAAAATGGCTTGACCTGGGACTGCAGAGTCGGACTTTTTCTCATCCTGATATATCAGGATGCTATATCTTATATCAGTAGGCCTGATATAGGAGAGACAGGCCTACTAAATGTTCATACCTGTTACTTCTCACCAAGTACATACTGAGAATGCACCTGAGTATGATTCCCAGCAATGGTCTCTTGCACCCTTTCCTAGTCTTCATGCTTCTTTCCTTTCCTTCTGCCGGTAGGCCTAGCATGAACTCTGTCTTTCCTAGATCAGTAGGGTTTTTTCTCTCTTGGAGTTAGTGTCTGACTCAGATTCATATCTACCTGAGGTTTGGGTTCATCTATTTTCCTCCAAGCACATGCCACAGCAATTTTCTGACTAGTTTACTTTTTGTTTTGGAACTTTATTTGACTCCCTACCCCAATGTAACATCCATACACATCTAACCCAGAATTGTCTTCTGTTTCTTCTTACTTTTCAATCTTAGCAGCTTGACCTAAGTTGTTTTCTTTGCTCATTAACATTCTAGTAACAAATGCCCCCCTTCATTTCATTATGCCCTTTCCCCGTGTAGTTCTAGACTAGAGCTGCTCCTATCAAGTCTTTGCCACTCCTTCTAGATGACACTAATTCGTGTATATCCAACTATAATACAAAGTCAGGAAATCTGATTTAGCCCATATGTCCTAGCTGAAAATTGCCTTACAGTATTTGTGTAGAACAAGGGTACATCTACATTGTATTACTTACTTACTGCCAAATTCAGGCAACACATCGGGGAAAGAAAGGATTTAACTGTAAGGTGTTAACTGAATTCATAAGAGAAATGAGAAGAGGCTCAAATCACAGAGGTTCAAAACCTGAGTCTTAAGCAACACCATGGTTAAGGGCTCAGCATCCTGAGACCAAGAAGGTGCAGTTAGGGTATTAAGAAGAGAGACATAAAGATTAGCCATCAATCATGACTCAAGAAAGCCACAAGAAAAGATATTTTTCCTTTTATTTGTTTTTATTGAGGGATTTTTAGTGGGTACTTTGAGAATTTGGGATAAGTTTTAGTTGACTAAGACTACTTAAAATTTAATTTCTGCCTGATGATGGAAAAAAGCAAAATTAAAAACTCTCTGCTGAAGGTAGTGGAAATCAGTAATCATTCATAGTCTTTTAAAATTAGAATGACTTTAACAAAGCAGAGTACTTGGACTGAAATATAGGTTATATGGGATTGATTCTAACTAGATCACCAAATACAGCTTCTGTACAAAGCTACTTTCCAACTGAAATGGATGTGTTCATACTGTTGCTCTTGTACTTGCCTGTATGTTGCTTCATAAATTTTAATGTATCTGTGTAAGTATGTTTTGTCTTTTAAATCATAAATCCCATAAAGTAAACACCACGTCTAATACTCCAAATACTATGTGCTCAAGTATTCAGAAAACTTCTTGGTGTTTGGAAGATCCTAGTCAGTCATTGCAAATCTTTATATATGAATAAGACTATAATACATGAATATACAGGTAAAAATATAATAGGAGTAAAATAAGAGTATTTTAAGTATCTTGTTATGCTTGTGACGATTATTTAAGCTTATTTAAGCTTGTTTCTCATGGCTAATTCTCTGTTCTTTTGACAGTATGAGTAGAAGTAGTTGAGTTCATATCAGTCAGTTTTACTGGTTTGGTAGATATAAAATTAATTACCAAACTGAATATTAAAAATATTTTTGTTATCCAAGACTATTCTCTTGACAGCTCATTGGTACATTTATGATAAATGAGATTAAAATAAAAATGAGATGTAAAGTAACATATGTTAATCTGTTAAGCAGTTATCTTGAGGTATTATTGTATCAGTTTGGTTAGTTTTATATATTTTTAGTAGTTCATTTGAAATATACTGACAGTTTGTTCTTTAATTACAGTGGATTAGCAGCTGGAGAAGACAATGGACAGAGAGGTTATTTGCTGACCTATGTCATTGCATACATTCGAGTAAGTTATCTCATTTCTTTTATCAGTTTATGTTGCAAACAATACTTTTTCTATAAGTGAATAAAATTATTTTCTTTATTTTCTTAAATTTTAACCTACTGTAATTTAGCATATCATTGTACTCATATGGGTCCAGGATTTTTCTACCTTATAAAATTTTCTTTCATACCTTTACACTTTTGTGGTGGCTTATGAATTGCTCTTTCCAGTTTTGATATTAAAACAGAATTGTACTCTGGGTAAAAAATTTAGTATTATAAGTTACTTATCATATAAGTATTATATCTTATACGCTATAAAATATATTTTCCTAGCTGAGGTGGTTCCAGATAGTCTATCTATTTAGTCACTACAAAGAGAGACACTCTATTTTCTAATTTATTTTTAAAGAAAAGTTGATTTTAAAAGATATCTTTTCCTTTTTCTAGTCCCTCCTCCCCCAACTTCCCTATCTCCCTGGTCCTTTGATCCTGATGATTACTTTTTGGTATTGGTTAATTTGCTGTTTAGGCCACTAAAAGTCTGTCCTGCTAGTATTCTCTGCATGTACCTAGACAGTTTCTGGATAGAGACTCCATTCATTAGAGAAATATTTGAGTTCCTGCCGTGTGTCAGACACTCTGCCTGGTGCCAAGGGCACAGAGGAAAACAAGACAAAGTTTCTGTCCTTCTGGAGATTATATCTCACACTTGGGGCCACTTTCCCATGCTCTTTTGAGGTAGATAGTAAAGAGCCCAGGAGGTTGAATTAGAAACCTGAAATACTAATAATGAACATGAAATACTACTAATATTATGGACTCTTCTGCATCTGTTGTAATTTCTTAATTTTGTGTATATGTCTTAACAGGATTTGGGTTTGGAATACTATGTATTAGGGGAATCTTTTGAGACTTCTGCTCCTTGGGACAGGTAAAATGAAATAAAATGCCTGATATTATTAAAATATGCTATACAATTGCTGAAGTAATTTATTGTGTGTGAACATGTAAACTTTTAAAGTTTTGTAAGGAAACGTTGAAACAAGGTAATCACTTTTATTTAACTTAATATCTTCATCAGAATGTCATATTTGCAAGCCATTTTAAAAATTTTAGACAGACTTGTCCATGTCCCATAGAAAGAAGTTATTACCGCAGTTTACATTTTAAAGAATTTTACTGAACACTAAATGTCACTATGTGGTTTTACTTAGCTTTGATTTAAATTCTTAAATGGTTAATATGCTTAAATGTTCTCTAAAAAGTCCCCCCAAAATATAACTTTCTTTTGTAGTATTTCATTTAGCTTTTGATATTTGTATGTACACTGTTAAGCAAGATCTTAACTTGAATTTAAGTGATTTCTGAAAGAAACCCAATTTAAGAAATTATGTATAATTTCTGTTTTTAAATTATACACATATATACATACAAATATTGGTTAGGGAATTAATAATAAAAACTGATTAGGAAATGTGAAGTGGTTTTATTAAAGATAGACTTGTGAGTTAACTCACTAATAAAAAATTCTTGAGGTTGTTAGCACATTTTTAATCTAGTATACCTTACATTTTACTTTTTCTTTATAAAATTTACTATTTTAAATCTATAATAAAGTATATAGGATATAACAAATCCCCCTGAATATACCTGTTAGATGTTACCTATCTTAACATTTTTGTTCTACCCTAACCTCTTTTCTTCCTCCCCCAGAAAACTTCTTACTTTTCTACACTGTCTTCATCTACTATGGGTTTTGACTTTTGCTGTATTGATGCTAATAGTCCATGCATTGTAAGATAGCAATCAAATTTATAGTATCAATATGTTAGTCACAGCATTCAGTTTTTGATGCTAAATTTTAATAAGGGGAATAAATCTTATACATAAAAAGAATTATCACTTCATCAACATCTGACATGTTTGAACAGCAGATATAGTTTGGGAGCTGTTCATAGATGTATCAGAGACCATTTTAGTCTTTAATACCTTTTCTTGCTGGGGAAAGTGGGTTAGTGTAGTGTTACTTCTTCAGTAGTATGAATTTCCTTGTCATCAATTACTCCTTACCTATGATTGCCATTTTGTCTTTAAATTCTTCCAACTGTGGAAGCTAGTCATGCACTATCTTTTCATTTTTCTTTATACTTTCCTTGTATATTCTTAAATACTTTTTTGACTCACTGACTATATCTGTTTTATACAGGGTTACGTACTTGGTTTTCATTTAAAACAACGTCTTCAACTGAAGTTTTAATAAATAAAATTAAGGGAAAGCAGCTGTATTCCTGACATAAAATTTATTTGTTACCATTTAGTAACTTGCTTTCTCTTTCAAACCTTTAGCTAAGTAGAGACCTTGTTTAGCAGCAGCCCATGGGATCAGGGTCTTCAACCCTCACACATTATTAGGTTGCTTGGCCTTTTCATGCATAAATTTCTTAAAGGATTATTGGTCTTACTAATTTTTATGTATTGCTCTGTGGCCCTAGCACAATGACTGCACCTATTAGGTGCTCAGTGAATATTCTGCATAGACTCCTATGAATGAACTATGGAATAGTGTAAGAATGTAGCCTTATAAAAATAGCTGCCTAAAAGGTCCGAGTTGGAGATTTGAAGATTTTAGAGACATCAGCTTGAGATTTGTGATTAAAACCAAAGGAGATATACAAACACTTAACAGGTAAATGGATGAAGGGAAAAGGAAGAAGGCCTGAGAAAGAAGTCCAAGAAACCCCAACATTTAAGGGATACAAACAAAGGATTCATTTAAGTTGTACAAATAAGCACTTAGGGCTAGCAAAGGAGATTGGGGAATAAAATCTAGAAGATTTGGAGGAAAACCAGTGCTGTGAGAGGAGCTGAGGGAAATTGTTTTCAAGGAGGAAATGGTCAATAGTGTTAAATTTGCTAATAGGTCAGGTAAGAATTTAAAAGTATACACAGTACAGGACTTCCCTGGTGGTCCAGTGGTTAAGACTCCTTGCTTCCAGCGCAAGAGGCTCGGGTTCGAGCCCTGGTCAGGGAACTAAGATCCTGCATGCCACGCGGCCAAAAAAAAAAAGCTATACACAGTTTTGTTTACTTCCTATGTAGTGACTGGTCCAAATGGACTGTATTGACCTTTGCATGAGTTCTGTTAGAAAATACTTTCAGAACTCCATACAAATAATTTCTAGAAAGTACCTCATTCAGGTAGCACTTGAATTCTGTTTTCTAGAGTCATGATAAAGAACTTGTTACTTTTATAAATTTGTAACATTCATGAACTCCTGTAGATATTAAAGTTTAGTAGATTTTATTTATATTTAAAATTTTATTTATTTGGTTGCGCCGGGTCCCAGTTGCGGCATGCGGGCTCCTTAGTTGCAGCATGCAAAACTCCCAGCTGCAGCATGCATGTGGGATCCAGTTCCCCGACCAGGGATCAAACCCAGGCCCCTTGCACTGGGAGCGCAGAGTCCCATCCACTGCACCACCAGGGAAGTCCCTTTATTTATATTTAAAGTATCTGTTTTGTAAGTTGGATTTTCAAACTAAAGACATTAAATTTCAATAATCTAAATACTTTATGAAAGATTTTTAAGAAACACGGATCCTTACCATTCTATAAATAAGGCATAGGTAACATTGATAAATTGTATCTGCCTGCAGCTCTCACAGAATAAGGCAGGACTTAACTTGAGTACTGTTTTGTAAAGTCAGATTTTATAAAACTTTCAGACACTATAAAAGTAAAAATTGACACGCTAATAAAGCACTAAAACCTTTTTCATATTTATATTTTAATCACTTATTCTTTGTTCTTATTGGAAATATAGATAACTTTAATGTGTTCAGTAAAGCATAATCCATTTAAATGTTATTGTTTTTTATCAAATTGGGCCAACCTTTTAAGTTTCTTTGGTATCTTTTCCTTTCTCATGATTCTAAACAGACCAAGGTTTAAAGCACAGAATTGGTGTCAATATGTAGCCAGGATATTTATTGGAGAATAAAATGGCTGATATATACTTTAAGAGTTTTATTTTCCAGATGAAACAGAATATATGGTTATAACAATATGTTACAGCTCACATTAAAAAACAGATTAATATTGTTAAATATTATCAATCTTCCCTCCCCTTTAAGAACTGTGTCTCACTTGTCTGTTTTCATTGTTCATATTGAACATACTAAACTGTCTAGCATAACTTTACACATAGTTCATGTCCAGTAAGTCTTTGTTGAGCTGGATTTTAGCTTAGTGCTTGAAAATAGGCTGTTGAACATTTGGTGTAGCACTATGATTATTAATTAAATTATTTTTAAATTAAGGAAAACTTCTTAGATGGGATATAGATTGGTATTCCTATAACCCAGAATTGAATTTTCATTAACATTTTCTTTAGAGCTTTTTAAAAAGCTTTTAGAATCTTGTAATTAAATTTATTTTGAAATTGGATTTTCCTTAGCTTAGGAAACTGCCTTCAGGAGACTTGAGTATGCTCCTCTGACTTCTGTCTTTCCTGTGACAAAAAGGAAAAGGACTTTGCTCCCTTGAAGTTATGAATGGAAGGCCAGTTTAAATGATCTTGTTCATTCTTGAAGGAATGAGTATGAAAGTTTTAGTTAAGAGAATTTCTGACTTGAATGTGCTGATAAACCAGCAATAATTAGATTTTTTATAATTATGTGAAAACTTAATATTGTATTCAATTATTTTTTTCTAGGGTTGTAGATCTCTGTAGAAATGTAAAGGAAAGAATAACAAGGGAATGCAAAGAGAAAGGTGTTCAGTTTGCTCCTCTTGCTACATGCAGGTGAGTTTTTGTTGTTGTTCTTATACTTTTTATTCTGAAAAAAAAAAACTGTTTTTTTTTTAATTAATAGAGAAGTGTAATTTGTGAGCTGAGGAAAAGCTTCAGTCTGTTCCACTTAGCAAGCTTTCCTAAACTTCACTTGCCACCTTGTTAGGACTGTGCCACTAGGATTTTTACATTAGTCCTGAGCCCGATAGGAGTAGAACACCCTTTCCTAGGAGTAGAACACCCTTCCATGAGTGAGCCTTCTACCCTGTCTGGACAGCGTGATGGTAAAGAGCCAAATGTCAGAGCTGCTGGAGTAAGAGAAGGACTCCTTCATTCACTGAAACTATAAATTACATATATGGTCAAGAAACTATAAATTACACACACATTCAATGTAGCTCTTTCTTTAACAGAGAAAAGGCACTTTAAGCACTTTGTCGGTTGTTGATTAAATCAGTGGGTATGGAATATAGGAATGAGTGGAGCCAGAAGATCCAAATGGAGATTAACTTGTTGCTTTCTAATAGATCTTTCTGTGATAATGGAAATGTTCTGTATCTGCCCTATCCAGAATGATAGCCACAGCCACATGTGGCTGTTGAGCTGTTGAAATGTGGCTAGTATGACTGTGGAACTGAATTTTAAATTTTATTAATTTCAAATAATTTAAATTTAAAATGCCACATGTGGCTAGTATCTTCCATATGGGACAGTTATAATCCATACTGGAGCACAGTTAACTGATGATTTTGTCATCTCTTAGTTAAATAGCAGAAGCCCCAGAGGAGGTTTTCTTAAGAAGGGGCACTTTGTGTTCAATCTTTTGATATTAATTTTCTGTGTGAACATCGGAAGATTAAATGTATAAAGATTGAAATGAGCATTTGACTTCTCTACAAAAGTTATCGAATTAATTAGAATAGAGAATAAAGGGAAATTAGGACAGATCATGAGAAGGGGAACCTTAAAGTAAATGATACAGTACTAATCTAGCACTTTAAAATTTATTGAACATTCTGTATTATATAACTGCTTCTCTTTTTTTCTCTGTGTGTGTGGTTTTCAGGGATATAACTCCAATATTTAGAAACAAACAAAAAACTTACAATATAAGCATGAATAAAAGTTAGGTAATTTTCGAATTAACGTAGTATCTTTATTGTTAAGTGCTGGACTCTGAAACAGCAGTTGTGCTTCAGCACAACAGCATTTCTGTATATTTCTATTCATGATGATTGTTCTTTTGATTAGCCTGGAACCACTTGATATCAGCCTAGGAAGGCAGATCTGGGCCTTCCTGCTACTGCATCACCATGGCAACTTCCTGCTTAGTTTTTAAATTTCTTTATTTTGTAACATTGCATGTGTCTAAAGAGTGAAAGCACTGTTCTGCTATTTATTAGGAATTTAATCTCTTGGAGCTCTAAGTTTATCATTAGTAAAGTAGTGGTAATATATCTCCTTGAAGGGACTGTTGTAGGAATGAAATGAGAAAGCATATAAAGGGCTATATAAATGCCATCGAATGTGTTATTGTGACGTAGTTACGTGAAGGTTGAGGTAGACAATCCATGCTAGTATTAGTATGGAAAATTCGGATATTTGTTTTTCTTCCTTAATGACAAATTCTCATGAAGGCATCCAGTTGTTAGGCCCTCTTGATGTGTTGACAGAGCATGATAATTTCTGTATATTTGTTTCCAAGACTAGAAATACTTATGTACTCTTTAAACTGGAATCTCTTCTGTGATTTTTTTTCCCTTTTTTTACATTCTCCCATCTTGTACTTTCCTATTACCATATTATGTTTCTTAATTCTACTTGTTGCCCCATAGGGACAGATACTTTTAAAATTTGCTAGATTGTGCTTTCTTTTTTTTTTTAATACTGACTGTTTTTTTCATTTTTAAATTTTTTTTTTTTTTTATATAGCAGGTTCTTATTAGTCATCAATTTTATACACATCAGTGTATGCATGTCAATCCCAATCGCCCAATTCATCATACCACCACCCCGCTTTGGTGTCCATATGTTTGTTCCCTACATCTGAGTCTTTCCCCCCTTGGTATCCATACATTTGTTCTCTACATCTGTGTCTCAATTTCTGCCCTGCAAACTGGTTCACCTGTACCATTTTTCTAGGTTCCACATATATGCGTTAATATACGATATTTGTTTTTCTCTTTCTGACTTACTTCCCTCTGTATGACAGTCTCTAGATCCATCCGCGTCTCAGCAAATGACCCAATTTCGTTCTTTCTTATGGCTGAATAATATTCCGTTGTGTATATGTACCACATCTTCTTTATCCATTCGTCTGTCGATGGGCAATTAGGTTGCTTCCATGACCTGGATATTGTAAATAGTACTGCAGTGAACATTGGGGTGCATGTGTCTTTTTGAATTATGGTTTTCTCTGGGTATATGCCCAGTAGTGGGATTGCTGGATCATACGGTAATTTTATTTTTAGTTTTTGAAGGAACCTCCATACTGTTCTCCATAGTGGCTGTATCAATTTACATTCCCACCAATAGTACAAGAGGGTTCCCTTTACTCCACACCCTCTCCAGCATTTGTTGTTTGTAGATTTTCTGATGATGCCCATTCTAACTGGTGTGAGGTGATACCTCATTGTAGTTTTGATTTGCATTTCCCTAATAATTAGTGATGTTGAGCAGCTTTCATGTGCCTCTTGGCCATCTGTATGTCTTCTTTGGAGAAATGTCTATTTAGGTCTTCTGCCCATTTTTGGACTGGGTTGTTTGTTTTTTTACTATTGAGCTGCATGAACTGTTTATATATATTGGAGATTAATCCTTTGTCCGTTGATTCATTTGCAAATATTTTCTCCCTTTCTGAAGGTTGTCTTTTCATCTTGTTTATGGTTTCCTTTGCTGTGCAAAAGCTTTTACGTTTCATTAGGTCCCATTTGTTTATTTTTGTTTTTATTTCCATTACTCTTCCATTATTCATTAGGAAGTGGATCAAAAAACATCTTTCTGTGATTTATGTCAAAGAGTCTTCTTCCTATGTTTTCCTCTAAGAGTTTTATAGTGTCCAGTCTTACATTTAGGTCTCTAATCCATTTTGAGTTTATTTTTGTGTATGGTGTTAGGGAGTGTTCTAATTTCATTCTTTTACATGTAGCTGTCCAGTTTTCCCAGCCCCACTTATTGAAGAGACTGTCTTTTCTCCATTGTATATCCTTGCCTCCTTTGTCATAGGTTAGTTGACCATAGGTGCGTGGGTTTATCTCTGGGCTTTCTATCCTGTTCCATTGATCTATATTTCTGTTTTTGTGCCAGTAATATATTCTCTTGATTACTGTAGCTTTGTAGTATAGTCTGAAGTCAGGAAGTCTGATTCCTCCTGCTCCGTTTTTATTCCCCTCAACACTGCTTTGGCTCTTCGGGGTCTTTTGTGTCTCCATACAAATTTTAAGATTTTTTTGTTCTAGTTCCATAAAAAATGCTATTGGTAATTTGATAGGAATTACACTGAATCTGTAGATTGCTTTGGGTAGTATAGTGATTTTCACAATATTGATTCTTCCAATCCAAGAACATGGTATATCTCTCCATCTGTTGGTATCATCTTTAATTTCTTTCATCAGTGTCTTATAGTTTTCTGCATACAGGTCTTTTGTCTCCCTAGGTAGGTTTATTCCTAGGTATTTTACTCTTTTTGTTGCAGTGGTAAATGGGAGTGTTTTCTTAATTTCTCTTTTAGATTTTTCATCATTACTGTATAGGAATGCAAGAGATTTCTGTGCATTAATTTTGTATCCTGCAACTTTACCAGATTCATTGATTAGCTCTAGTAGTTTTCTGATGACATCTTTAGGATTCTCTATGTATAGTATCATGTCATCTGCAAACAGTGACAGTTTTACTTCTTCTTTTCTGATTTGTATTCCTTTTATTTCTTTTTCTTCTCTGATTGCTGTGGCTAGGACTTCAAAAACTGTGTTGAATAATAGTAGTGAGAGTGGACATCCCTGTCTTGTTCTTGATCTTAGAGGAAATGCTTTCAGTTTTTCACGATTGAGAATGATGTTTGCTGTGGGTTTGTCGTATGTGGCCTTTATTATGTTGAGGTAGGTTCCCTCTGTGCCCACTTTCTAGAGGGTTTTTATCATAAATGGGTGTTGAATTTTGTCAGAAGCTTTTTCTGTGTCTATTAAGATGATCGTATGGTTGTTATTCTTCACTTTGTTAATATGGTATATCACATTGATTGATTTGCGTATATTGAAGAATCCTTGCATCCCTGGGATAAATCCCACTTGATCATGGTGTATGATCCTTTTAATGTGTTGTTGGATTCTGTTTGCTAGTATTTTGTTGAGGATTTTTGCATCTATATTCATCAGTGATATTGGTCTGTAATTTTCTGTTTTTTGTAGTATCAGGTATTAGGGTGGTTTTGGTATCAGGGTGATGGTGGCCTCATAGAATGAGTTTGGGAGTGTTCCTTCCCCTGCAATTTTTTGGAAGAGTTTGAGAAGGATGGGTGTTAGCTCTTCTCTAAATGTTTGTTAGAATTCACCTGTGAAGCCATCTGGTCCTGGACTTTTGTTTGTTGGAAGATTTTTCATCACAGTTTCAATTTCATTACTTGTGATCGGTGTGTTCATATTTTCTATTTCTTCCTGGTTCAGTCTTGGAAGGTTACACCTTTCTAAGAATTTGTCCATTTCTTCCAGGTTGTCCATTTTATTTGCATAGAGTTACTTGTAGTAGTCTCTTAGGATGCTGTGTATTTCTGTGGTGTCTGTTGTAACTTCTCCTTTTTCATTTCTAATTTTATTAATTTGAGTGCTCTCCCTCTTTTTCTTGATGAGTCTGGCTAATGGTTGATCAATTATGTTTATCTTCTCAAAGAACCAGCTTTTAGTTTTATTGATCTTTGCTCTTGTCTTCTTTGTTTCTATTTCATTTATTTCTGCTGTGATCTTTATGATTTCTTTCCTTCTGCTAACTTTGGGTTTTGTTTGTTCTTCTTTCTCTCG